ACCAAATTGGACGAGTGAGGTATGAAAATTCATCTATTTTTCGTGCTCTAGCTGCCTGTTGGTTAGGTTTCCAGAAATTTTGAGAGTTTATAACTCAAATTTCGAATTGAAGAAAACTGGCAGTTTCGGCAACCATTTTGGGCCACTTCCGGCCATTTTCTGGCCTTCACCTAAGAAGAAAAGTGGTTTCAAATTAGGTGTATTACCTAGGTTAGGAGTTTAGAGCCAATTAAGTTTTTCCGGCGAGTGGTTATCGCTTTGGACACCCACGTGCTGTCGGCGCGTGTGGCGTGGCACTGTAGCAGAGAGACATTTTATCCTAGAATGATCCTTGTGTTGTCACGAGCGCGTAGGAGTTTACGGATCTCAATTTGGATATCGTTTGGGCCTCGAACGAATTTTACCTAATCTGTGATTTTTGGGTTCGATGTGTTTGGCCCGTTGGATCAAACCCAATTTAACGTATGTTGTTCCAGGTATTCCTAGGATCGCATAGGAATTCACGGATTGTGAATCGGAGCCCCGGATATTCCGGTTCAATAATTTAAAGTTTATGATTTACGATAACCGTTCGATCGTGAGTTTTGACCGTCCGGTTGACCGAGTGGCTTCCGAGACTTTTTCAGCGTTTGAAACTCTTAGGTGGACCCTAGGAGTGTCTCGTTCCTCGTGCGTACTAGAAACCCGGGAAAATTAGGATTTTATTTTAAAGTCTTATTTTGAAGAGTTGGATTTTTATATCGTGTTCCTATTCTGAAATAGGTAATCCGACTCCGCCATCACAGCAGGCAGGACCCTCTCAGGGTCACGCAGCGTGGGACTACTTGTGAGTGGACTTTGTTTTCAAATAAATAGTATGGATTTATCTTGGAAATTGCATGTATAAGAATTTAAGGATTTACTGACAGTTAATTTGTGCTTTAAAGTGAAACTAATATGTTCGTAAGTATTTGGTATATTTTCTGGGTTTTGATATTCTAAGTATCTTGAGTATATATAAATTGATATATGTGAATTGTTATCTATCTTTGAGGGCTATGTGTGGGAAGTACGGGGTTGTTTTATGAGTTGTGGAAAGATGTGGTATAGATTGTCAGTTTGAAGTGCTATAAGCACTACCCCGTGTACCTCCCCCTGGATTTGTGAATGGATTATGGAAATGTGATACTTGGAAATATCGGAACCCGGGGCATACCTTAACGGGGTGTCGCTGTAGACCCTTAATTGGGTAGTCTGCGCGCGTAGGACTGTTTACAGGCGTACGGGTCTTGATTCTTCGTCCGTACGTGCTGGCTGAGAGTTAGTCCCCCAGTTGGACGGCTTGTCCCTAGCCACATAGTCCGTTTGAGGGCTGATAATTGTGAGCTAGTCAACAATCCCCTGCTGGATTGTTTCCCCGGTACAATTAGGTGTGTCTTATATATATATATATCTATAGAGTGTATCTCTCATATTTTAGCATTATGCAATTGTTCTTATTTTTGAGCGAGGATACTTCCCCGCTCGTCGTGCCGGTGGGCACGGGTTTCGAGAGTTTGATTTGAGTTTTGTAAGGAAAGGTTTGGGTGGGTTGATTTGCAAGTTTCACTGAATTTCGGATTTAGCTCGGGTTGAGCAAACTATATATGTATGAATATGATGGTTTTTAATGTATTGATTTCATGCATGGTTTTCTAACAGTGGGGTTATACTACTTTGGTTTAAATTGAACTAAACGTTGTTTTGTCCACTCACAATTTTCTGTTTTGCGCCCCACAGCCAGTAGTTGACTGGAACGAGCCGCAGTGCCGTGTCTTGTGCTCCTGTTTTCACGAGCTTCAGCACTTGAGCCTTCTCAGGGCCTCTGTGCTATGTAAAATCGTTAAACTTCCTTCCCACTTTTATTTTCTTTGAATTCTGTTAGATGCTCTGTTATTGCCCAGTTAGAATTTTGGTATTTTGAGGCCGGAGGCCACAGTTTGTAAACGCTATGTATTGTGTAATGCATGCTGGCTGTTGGGTTATAAATATCTGTGTTTTTGACAGGTTGAAATTTTTGGGTTATGTCCTGTTTACAGGGGAGACTCTGCCAAAATTTTGGTAGAAAGTCTCGGGTTTTAGTACATGGGCCCGGCATCTGCGGAATGCCGGATATTTAGGCGGGATCCGACCCGGGTTCCGAGGAAACCCGGGGCGGGTCCTGTCACAGCTAAAGAGTGAAAGTTGTATGGAATTGTTTTTTTTTATTGTTGAATAACATTGTGAATTTTGTTAATGCTTCTGTTAAGCGTCGTAACGAGTTAAACTTAATTTGAAAAGCTGAACTCAAAAAGTTGTTGGATTCTAGGGACCTTGAGACAGGTAGAGAACTTAATCAAGCTTATACTTTGAAACGAGCTGGAGCCACTATTACAAGTTTGATGAGTTTATTTAAAGAGACTAAAGTACTTCTTCAGGAAATAAGTGATCATAGGCCTAACCAACAATTTCGTGGTGATGTAGAAAGTAACTATATTGCTATGATATCTTTTGAGTTTGTGTTTTCATTGGTTTTGATGGATAAGATTACGGGATTGACCAATTTTCTTTGTCAAGCATTTTAGACTAAAACTCATGACATTGTAAGTGCTTTAAATTTGGTTGTAAACATAAAAACGCAACTTCAAGATATGAGGGTACATGGCTGGGATTATTTATTGAGGAGTGTGGTATCATTTTGTGAACTATATGGTGTTGATATTCCTGATATGGGTGCTCGTTATATGATGGGTTCACGTAGTTCTTGTCAACAAAAAGATTTTATTACAGTTGAGCATTACTATTGCACTTATGTATTTAATGATGTTATAGATTGCATGTTGAGTGAGTTAAATTACAGATTTCCAAAGCAAACAATTGAACTTCATATTCTTAGCTCAACATTGGATCCTCTTAGAGCATGTCCTACCCAAAGGGCTAAGGCAAGGGCTAAGGCAAGGCAAGGGCTGTTACTATTCACATGAATAGTGGCAGCCTTACCTTTTTTGGTTCCACCCCAAAAGGCTAGGGCAAGGGTAAATAGTATTCATTGTACTTTATTTCCCTTTTTTTTTTTTTATACTTTAAACCATTAATTTTGGTTGCCACGTGTCCATCATTTTTCAGAAAAGATTTTCGGATGAGATTTTCGGTTGACACGTGTCTTATTTCAGATAAAATTTTCGGATATTTATTTTTAAAAAAATTATAATCTCAGATTTCAGATAAAATTTGCACCCTCTAAAATTGTGCCACGTGTCCCATGTCAAATAAGATTTTATTTTGTGTGTGGTGTGTTTGGAATTATGCTTTGTTTTGTGTGTTGTTTGGAATAAAATAAGGTTTATTTTTAATTAAACTTTGTTTGCATTTGCAAAAGGCTAGGGCAAGGGCAAGAAAAAAAAAAGAATATGCAACAAAATATAAACAATTTAGAAATGCATGAAATGAAATGATTATGCAAGAAAAAAATAAATATGGAAGAAAATATAAACAACTTACAAATGTAAGAAAAAAAAAATGATTGCATTTTACAAATATTGGAAGGAGAAGAGTTTGTATGAGGATTTGGTGTGGAAAGTGAATAAAATTGTTGTGTATTTATAGGGAAAATATCCATAATTTTTTAGAATTTTTTTCGATTTTTTTGAATTTTTTTTTGCTCACTGACATCAGCGCCTTCAGGCTGAAGCCCAGGCAAGATCTGCCCTTGGGCTTGCCCGGGCTGGTGGGACCCCGGGCTTGCCCGGGCTGATTTTCTTGCGCTGGAGGTCCATTTTGAGCTGGGGGGCCCTGTTGCCCTGGCAAAATGGGCTGCGGTAGACATGCTCTTAAGTCCTTCAAGTCATTCAATATTGAGCATATATGTAAACTTGTTGAGAAATTCTATCATATTGATTTCCTTCCAAATGAGTTGAAATCTTTAGAAATAGAGTTGAAGTATTTTCAAAATTTTATAGATTGTTTTCCTTACTTTAAGGAAATGACCACTCTTCCTCAGTTATGTCAAAATTGGTGGAAACAACTTTGGCAGAAAACTATTGTTTGATTAATAGGTTGATTCAGTTGGTGTTGACTCTTCATGTTTCTACAACAACAACGGAACGAGCTTTTTCATATATGAGAATTATCAAGAATCGACTTCGAAACACAATAGCTAATGAATTATTAAGAATCGACTTCAATAATGTATCGACAATTGAGGAATTTAAGATTTCTCCTCGTAGGGTAAACTTTTAGACTTAACTAGTGTAGTTTTATTTTGAGAGTAAGACTCATTATGTCTCCCCTCACTAGGTGTATCTTTTATGTTTATTAATGAAATTTACTCGTACCGTTGAGTTTTTAATGTACGTTTTGCCCGGTCGACTTTCGAATCCTAGATCCACCACTGTTTGACATGATTGTATTCCCAATTCCGCAAAAATTGAAATATGATATATCAAATTTAGTGAGTATGCAGGGATTTGATAGTGACGTATTCAAAAAGCGAAGATAGGAAAAGACTTAAAAAAGATGCAGCAAAGTTTGTTTCATTGTTCGGAGAATATCATTTCATGGAGACTCCATGTTCTTCTTTTTGGTCAAAGACGCAGTATGTTTTCGGAAATATGAAAAGACTCTGCACTTATAAGAATTTGACATATTTTATTATTTTATTTTTATTAAGAGATAATAGAGTTAGAGTAGGAATAACTCTGTTAAAGTATAGTTAAGTGGGATGCTAGGTATCAAAAAATAATAATAAAGTAATATATTTATATTATAATGAAAAAAAAAACAGGAAACAACTCTTCTCTCTCGCGCTTCCCGACCCACCCCAACCATCATCAGCTCATTGTCTCCAACCCACCTACCCCCCACCACCGTAACTCTCTCTCCTTCAGAACAAGAATGTATTGATTTATGGGTCGCTACTTTTTGTTTTTAGTTTAGCAATCTTTAACCTATCAACAAGTCAAATTCGAGCCATTAATATTAATTCAACCCATCAATATTCAAGACCCAAATGCAATTGCAACAACCTAAGCTTCAAGACCCAAATATGATATGAACCCCATTAATGTAAAAATGGAATTCAACCATAACTTCCGTATTCCATACCTCCAGACCAAGTGAATAGAAATCTTGTAAAATCAAAATGTCACAAAATCCTTTGAGTTTTGTAAGTATGCACTCAACTCAGATCTGGGTATTAGAAGTCCACAGGGAGAGCGGAAGAGCAATAAGTAATCCAGAGTGGCCTATGAAAGAGGAGCAGAGGAGGTTATCGTCAAGGGTGAATTTGACACCAAAGATGGTGCGGATGGTTTCACAGAGAGAGAGAGAGAGAGAGAGAGAGATGGAGGGGGCAAGGTCAAAAGTTGTTTGACCAAAAAAATGTTGGTTTTGCAAAGCATTGCAAACATGATTGAATTGAAATTAGTTCCACATTAAAAAACTAGAGTTCCTTGGAGGTCTTTATAAGACTTAGGAGAGTGTATTCAATTAGGATTTTAAAAGACTATTTTGGGATAAATAAGTCTTGTGGTATTCAATTAAGACTTTTAAATAATCTAAACAAGTCTTGTGGTATTCAATCAAGACTATTAGGATTTTTTAAAGAGGGAGTCCAAATCTAGTGGTATTCAATCAAGACTTTAAACAAGTAACAAAAAGTCTTTTGGTATTCAAAAACTTGCTAATTTCGAAGGATTTTTTTTAAATAGGGAATTGGTGTGACTTTTTAGTGGGAGGTATAAATACCAAACCCTATAAATAGGGAATTGGTGTGACTTTTCACGTGAGATTTTTATTTTTTTTTTGTCTGCTAGAGAAGACAAACAGCTCTTCGTGAACAAGGTATTGCTTCCTTCTCGTGCTATGTCTTCTTGCGTTTATTGTCTGTATATTTGTTAATGCCATGTTTGTATATGATCAGTGGCCCTTCGTGGGTTTGTTGCTACCTTTTCCATGCTTCGTGGGTCTGTGTCTTCACAACAATTGCTACTACCTATTGCATGAACAAAACAGGCCTGGTCCAACTAATATATATAGTAGTTTGTATTTCTTCAATGACTTCAATAATAAAATAGACTCAAGAATGACCAGACCAACATATGCTTATTATTGTAGTAGCTAGTTGAAATCCATATGCTTATTGTTGTTGTAGTTAAGCTTCTGCTCGTACTGTCTGTACAGGCCCCTGTTTCCCATAGAAAAAAATTGAAAACAACAGTTTTCGTTTAGGAATATAACACCCGACATACACATGGACAATTAGAAAGAAAATAGAAAATAAACATGAGTAAAATTCTTTTCTTTTCTTTTCTTGTTTGGTATGATATGTATTCTTGTGAAATAACTAATAAATTTCTTACATATGTTGTAGTAGTAATTTAATGGGGGATTCACAACAAGGAAATAACAAAGGAAAGGGCAAAGAGAAAGAGAACTATGAATCTTGGACCATAGAGGATACCAATGAGTTGTTGCACCTCTTGGTGGATGCTATCAATAGTGGATTGCGTGATGCTAATGGGTCACTTAGCAAGCAAAATGTAGAAAGAGTGATACTTCCTCGTCTTAATGCGAAAATTAGGTTCCCAAAAACTTATAATAATTACTTGAGCCGAATGAAGTGGTTTAAGAAGCAATATAACAAGATGTCTATGCTTATGCGTAACAACTCTGCCTTTGGGTGGGACCCAATTGCAAAGACGTTCACTGCTAGTGATGAAGTATGGAAAGATTACTTGAAGGTGAGCTTAGTTCATAATCTTTTAAATATATTAATAGCTTACTAGTTTAGTACAATATATTATTTGCAATATATTAGTAATGAATAATTTGTTCTTTGCTAGTCCCACCCAAGTCACAGTAAACTTCGAGAAAAGAGTGTTGTTGATTATGAGGATTTGAAGATTGTTGTTGGGGGTGGAACTGCTACTGGGAATGGCTCCATTGCATTGGGCGCTGATGATACTGATGCAACAACTTATGGGGAAGAAAATAGAGATTTCGGGATGGAAGACTTTTCATATGATCCTAACAATG